CTCCCCTTAGGGCCACGAGCCTGGCCACCAAAACAAGCAAACCGATCGAGACATCCTCAAAATCTGGCCCACCTGGGGGGTGAAAATGAGCGCCTCGCTCGAGACATCCTCCAAATCTGCTCCGAAAGCGAAGGATGTTGGCAGAAACAGGCAAACCGCCTGAGACATCCCCACAAAATGGCCGCGAACGGGACCGTGCAACACCCCTCGGCGGCTCCCCTTAGGGCCACGAGCCTGGCCACCAAAACAAGCAAACCGATCGAGACATCCTCAAAATCTGGCCCACCTGGGGGGTGAAAATGAGCGCCTCGCTCGAGACATCCTCCAAATCTGCTCCGAAAGCGAAGGATGTTGGCAAGACAAACAGGCAAACCGCCTGAGACATCCCCACAAAACGGCCGCGAACGGGACCGTGCAACACCCCTCGGCGGCTCCCCTTAGGGGTGCTGAAACCAGCGCCCCGCCTGAGACCGTTTCCGGACGGATCCGCTGGATCCGCTGGATCCGGTGACGAATCCCAAACCGGCGCCCTCGCCTGAGACATCCTCACAAAACGGGCCCCGGGGGGGATGCCCAGAGGAGCCCAGAGCGGCCTCCGGCACCGTTTCCGGACGGATCCGCTGGATCCGCTGGATCCGGTGACGAATCCCAAACCGGCGCCCTCGCCTGAGACATCCTCACAAAACGGGCCCCGGGGGGGATGCCCAGAGGAGCCCAGAGCGGCCTCCGGCACCGTTTCCGGACGGATCCGCTGGATCCGCTGGATCCGGTGACGAATCCCAAACCGGCGCCCTCGCCTGAGACATCCTCACAAAACGGGCCCCGGGGGGGATGCCCAGAGGAGCCCAGAGCGGCCTCCGGCACCGTTTCCGGACGGATCCGCTGGATCCGCTGGATCCGGTGACGAATCCCAAACCGGCGCCCTCGCCTGAGACATCCTCACAAAACGGGCCCCGGGGGGGATGCCCAGAGGAGCCCAGAGCGGCCTCCGGCACCGTTTCCGGACGGATCCGCTGGATCCGCTGGATCCGCTGGATCCGGTGACGAATCCCAAACCGGCGCCCTCGCCTGAGACATCCTCACAAAACGGGCCCCGGGGGGGATGCCCAGAGGAGCCCAGAGCGGCCTCCGGCACCGTTTCCGGACGGATCCGCTGGATCCGCTGGATCCGCTGGATCCGGTGACGAATCCCAAACCGGCGCCCTCGCCTGAGACATCCTCACAAAACGGGCCCCGGGGGGGATGCCCAGAGGAGCCCAGAGCGGCCTCCGGCACCGTTTCCGGACGGATCCGCTGGATCCGCTGGATCCGGTGACGAATCCCAAACCGGCGCCCTCGCCTGAGACATCCTCACAAAACGGGCCCCGGGGGGGATGCCCAGAGGAGCCCAGAGCGGCCTCCGGCACCGTTTCCGGACGGATCCGCTGGATCCGCTGGATCCGGTGACGAATCCCAAACCGGCGCCCTCGCCTGAGACATCCTCACAAAACGGGCCCCGGGGGGGATGCCCAGAGGAGCCCAGAGCGGCCTCCGGCACCGTTTCCGGACGGATCCGCTGGATCCGCTGGATCCGGTGACGAATCCCAAACCGGCGCCCTCGCCTGAGACATCCTCACAAAACGGGCCCCGGGGGGGATGCCCAGAGGAGCCCAGAGCGGCCTCCGGCACCGTTTCCGGACGGACGACCTGACTGCATAACACGCCTGGATATGCCGACGGGGGCGAAGGAGGAGGAGGAGGAGGAGGAGGAGGAGGAGGAGGAGGAGGAGGAGGAGGAGGGGGCAGGCGAGGGAGCCCCGGCCCTGGGGGAGGGGCCCTGAGGGAGCCCTGATGGGCTTCCGGCACCATGGAGAGGTCCTGTGGGGCGGCCGCCCCTTCTTCTCTCGGTCGTTTCCCTCTCGCCCAGAAGCGCGCGCCCCTTCTTCTATATATACAGAAACTCCCGATCAACCGCAGAGCGGCGGATGTTAATAATAATAATAATAATAATAATAATAATAATAATAATAATAATCATAATCATAATCATAATCATGATCATACCAATAATAATAAAAATAGTAATAATAGAAATGATAGTACAAATATTAAAAATAATACGAGTAATAATAGTACTAATAATAATGATCCGCTGGCCCCCTTGTGGGGCCACCAGGCTGTAGGCCGAAGCTTCGCAATTTCCTGTACCAGTTGCAGCTTCCAGTTTCCACTGTTACAGTTCTGCTTCTTGCTGCTTACTGTTCCTTGTTGACTTTTTGCTGCTTACTGTTCCTTGTTGATGAACCGCGCGAGGGGGGGAGGCCCAACACAGGCATTTGTACTGCGCCCTGAGCGTGTACTCTGAATTGCTGGGGTGGTAAAAATTTACACCCACACGCAGATCGGCGGGGTCAGGGTCAACAAAACACATGGGATTGGCCACATTTCCCAAATTCGGTGGCACCCCTCATGCAGATCGGCGGGATCAGGGTCCAAAAACTAATGGGATTTGCTACATGTCTGATATTCGGTGGCACCCCTCATGCAAATCGGCAGGGTCAGGGTCAAACAACATATGGGACTTGCCAAATTTCTGAAATTCGGTGGCACCCCTCACGCAGATCGGCGGGGTCAGGGTCCAAAAACTAATGGGATTTGCCACATTTCTGAAATTTGCTGGCACCCCTCACGCAGATCGGCAGGGTCAGGGTTCAAAAACACAATGGATTTGCCGCATTTCTGAAATTCGCAACACCCCTCATGCAGATCCGTAGGGTCAGGGTGCAAAAACACAAGGGATTTGCCAAATTTCTGAAATTCGGTGTTACCCGTGACGCAGATCCGTAATTAGGCTCAGGGGTCGAAAAGCAAACAGGTCCCGACACTGCTTCACGGCGGCGCCCAAACCTCATGATTTAGCTTTTGCATCTCCCAGTATCCGAGACAGGGGGGCCGGCGGCATGGGGCGAAGCCCTTACGGATAATAATACTCATACGCGTACCAACAACACGAACGATGACAGTACTTACCAAAAGAAGAAACATAAGACGAAGCAGAAGAAGCAAGATAAGAAGAAAGCGCGGACATCATGGCCCCCGACATGACGCCCCCCCCCCTCCCTCGCAGTCGTCACCTCCCTCTTGGACGCCCGCGCTTTCTGGTAGCCCAGCCGGGGGGGAACATCCCTCGACTCGGTGCCCCGAGCTCTTCGAGACCCAGGCCCCAGCCCTCTGGACCGCTTCCCCGGGACTACCCTGGGTTTCCGAATAAGCGTGGGGGGGTGCCCCCCCGACGGGCGTCCACCTCGCCTCGTCGTCGCGCCGCGACGGGGGTCGGAGCGCCCTCGGCGCGCGGCGGCTGCCCGCGACGGGGGTCGATGTGCGGCCGTCGGCGGGGGTGACGCCCCCCCGAGGCTTATTCAGAATCTCGGAGTGGCTTCCCGTCCGGTATCGTTGCTGGACGGCCCCGAAGACCGGGACGGGCCCAGGCAGGCCAAGGCCGAGGAACAACCTCCGCCTCGATGCCTTCGAGACGCCGGCAGTGTGGTCTTCGGGACGTGGCTCGGCGCTCCGGCGGCCGTCCTGGCCGCTGCGGGCACCCCTTGGTCGAAGGTTGCCGGAGTGGAAGCCTCCTGGATGGGGTCCGAACAGAAGGGGTCGGAGGATCTCGCCGCATCGCATCGCCGATGCATCGGCGATGCATCGGCGACGTATCGGTGATGCACCAGCGGTGCATCGTCGACGACGGCGATGCATCAGCGACGCCGACGCGACGCAAATCGGGCTCCACATCGAGCCGCGTCGGCGAAGCATCGGGGATGCGGCGCGACCCTCCGAACCCTTCTATGCTCCGACCCCATCTGGGAGCCGTACAGTGCGGGCGCGGCCGCAAGAAACCCTCGCAAGAGACCCAACCCTGAACACCCGCGCGCGAAGTGCACCGGAGGGGAAACCCGGAGCACCCTGAACGCAGCAGCTCCTTCAACGGCCGCGGGAAGCCGCCGCGCATCGCGCGGAGCGAAGAAACCCAGGATACCCTGACGAAAAATCATGTGGTTTCTTGATGCGCGCCCCCACTGTAAACATGAGTGGCCCTGGCCCAAGATGCCCTCAGGAGCTCGGAGGCCCCCACGGCCTCCAGGGCACCCCTTCGCGAGGCACAGGGGGCCCCCCGGGGGGCTCCGGCGTGGAGCCGAGGCCGGGGGGCACCTTGGCCCGGGGGCACCTGCAGCAGCCCCGGACCCAGAGCGCCTTCGGCGAGGCAGAGCTGCTGGAATACGCCATGGGGCGCGAGTTGCTCGGGGGCGATCAGTGGAAGGGGAAGCAAGGCTCGGTGCCCTTCACGGGCCCTGGTGGCCCCTCCTCTGGGGTCCCAGAGGAGCTCCTCAGGAGGAGCCCTGAAGGGCCCCTTTCGGCAGCCCTCGCTGCCCCCTATGTGTCGCCCCCCCCCCCTCCACCCCCCCAACATTACTCGGGGGCGGCCACGAGGAGGGTGTCCAAGAGAGCGGGGTGCAAATCATGACCGGCGGCATGTGCGCGGCCCAGCGGGGGGGCCAGGGACGTAATGAAGCAAGAAGAGGCGCCATGAAATCTGGGGAAATATCATGGCCCCCGCCATGATATCCACCCCCCCTAGTCATCAGCCCCCTCTTTGCCTGCCCCCGACATGACGCGCCCCCCAACCGCTGGACGACACCCCGAGGCCGGAAAACCGCCGGGACTCGCCTCGGACCGGGTCCGGGCCGCGCCCTGCACGCTCGGGCCGGCCCTAGACGCGCGCGCCCCCGGGCGCGCGGCCCCCTCCAGCAGCACGCGAGCCCCCCCCCCCGAGAGGCCTTGGCTCTCCTCCCGCCCCCGGGGCCAGACGAAGCCAGGACGAGGAGAACATCGGGCGAAGATAAATCGAGGAGCCTCGAGTGGAGGCTGTCCTGGGCGCCGCGGCTGTAAGGCTGGAGGCGGAGGGTAGGGGGGGGGATCGCCGCAGTCCAGCGCGTGCTCTGAGCCCCACCCCGGCTGCGGGCCACGACAACTTCTGCGCCTGCCCCAACGAGGCTGTGGCCTGGCGACGGGTCGGTGGGCGGGAGGGCGATCGACTGAGAACTCGGAGGCTGACCTCGAAACTCTGTCCTGCAACTCGACTGGGCAATTCCAATTGGAATTGGCACTGTGCTTGGAGTGTTTCACCGACCAGGAGCGGTGACCTGAAAAGAATGAACATGACACGCGTGCATCGGCTTCAGGGTGTACAGGGTGGACAAGCCTGGACGGGGATCATAACATCCGCGCAAACGTACACTCATATTCCAAACCAGTGCTTGCACTTAGGGGCTCTCCTTCTTTTATAAAGAACTGGGCCTGTGCGTCGGTCTGCCGGCTGTGAAGTGTCCGTCACCGCCCGCCGCCGCCTCGCCGCCAATCTGGGCCTGTCTGTCGGTCTGGCAGCTATGTTGTCGACGTCGCCGCCCCGTCGCCGCCTCGTCGCCGCCCATCGTCTGGGCTTGTGCGTCGGTCTGGCGGCCATGTGGTCGCCATCGCCGCCCAGTCGCCGCGTCGTCGCCGCCCATCGTCTGGGCCTGTGCGTCGGTCTGGCAGCTATCTGGTCGACGTCGCCGCCCCGTCGCAGCCTCGACGCCGCCCATCGTGTGGGCCTGTGCGTCAGTCTGGCGGCTATGCTGTCGCCGTCGCCGCCCCGTTGCCGCTTAAATTATAATTTTTAAAAGAAATAAGTTCAGCCCCCCTCTCCCATCGGGGTTAACGATTCACCTTTTCGTATTGCAATTTACATATGGGTTGCCCCATCGCCCACCCCAACTATGAATTTGCACCATCCCAGGGGGGGGGCGGTATCGCCCCCACGCCATCCTTTTTCAAAAAATACAATGCGCGCGCACTCGTTTATCACAAACCAAAAGTTTTCAATAATCCTTTTGGAAAAAAGGGGGCGAAGTGCGCACGCGCGCGTCGTCGCGCGCGCGTTCGGAAGGATTTCGGGAGGATTTCAAACGTTGAGTTTCCAAAACGCATACGAGCGCACAGGGTTTCGCAACACGGGTTTTCAACAAGAGCGTGCGCGCTTGCGAATTCTGAAGAAACCCACAAGGTGTAACATTTCCATAACATGCTACCAAACGGGTTTCGCGCGCGCATGTCGAAATCGTTCGAATGCCCTCGCGCGCGTGCTGGGGTGGAATGAGCCGTGCCACATACTACGACGCGAGCCACTCTCGCGCGTCTGTCGCGCGCGAATTTCGAAGTCCTTCCAACACCTGCATCGCCGACGCGAAACGCCGTCATCGTCGTCGGCGTGATCGGCATCGGCGCCGTCAATTGCCGTGCCGTCGTCGCTGTCAGCATCGCCACCAACATCGCTACTATCATTCGCATCGTGTCAGCAATTGTCGACGTCGCCATGATACCGCACCCGCCCAAGTCGCCGACTCGCACTCAAGTGCCGCTGGGATGTGCCGAGCGGTCAACGCCACCGCGGCGGCGTCGGTCGGCCGCTGCGCGCACGCATGCGCGGGCTGGCTCTGTCGCAGAGATGCACCAGCCAGCGCTGAGCACTCATCGCAATCGCCGCCGCATGAGGTCTGCAAAAAGCAAGTTGCGGGCGGGTGGGTGGGATGTTTGCGCGAGCCGTGGGGTGGACAACCCACTGCGAACAACAGTTAATTGCACAACACATATTGCACCGCGTATCCGCCACCGTGCCTGAGGGCACGGTGTCGGCGTACAGTCGGGGCGTTGACCTAAGGAACCTTAAATAAGGAACGAGGCCCCTCTTCTCCATACGTTAAACTTCGATTTCCCATGCAGAAACCTAAGGAAAACCCGACGCAAACTGTGAATCAATCAAGGAACACCGAGCCCCTCCCCAACGAAAAGGGTTCCTTCTTCAGGGCCCCGACTGTATTCTCAGGTGTTTTGCCTCATCGTCGACGTCTCCGTCCTCACCCCGCAGGTGTACTGAAAGGGGCCCAGACCACGACTGCCGAAACCTCCCAGGGCTTCCCGCTTGCCCCCCTGGGCTCCCGAAGTGCTGCCGCAAGGCTTTTGTTTGGGTGCGCGAGGGCCCCCAAAACAGGACACGCGGGCCCACGAGACCCCAGGAGGGCCCCGACATGCCCAAAAACCGGCCCACGATGCCCAACGAGACGCCCCAAGAGGCCTCCAAGACGCCTCAAGAGGCTTTTACGAGGCCTCAGGAAGGCGAAACTCATAGATTTCCATTTCCTCTACGTGATTGCAGAATCTTGGCGTTCCGACGCTCCATAAGAGGGCCAAAGGAGGCCCCAAAGACAACCACACATCGGGCCAAGAGGTCTCTCGCGCGCGCGTGCGAAATCCTTCAACAACCTTAGGTTTCGCAGAGATTTCAAAAACGAATGTCCAAACAACATATGAAACACATACGGTTTCGCAATCCGGGTTTTCGCAAAAAGCTTGAGCGCGCGCTCTTGCGAATTCTTAACAACACCATAAACAAAAACATCAGTTTCAGAACATGTTACCATACGCGCTTCGCGCGCGCATGTCGAAATTGTTCCAACGCCCTTGCGCGCGTGCAGTCGCGAGAACTCCTTGCAACAAGTGAACGAAGTGCACACGCGCGCATCTCCACGCGCGCATGCAGAAATGTTTCAAAAACCTTCGGTTTCGCAACGATTGCCTAACACTGTCACGCACGAACACAAACCGTTCCCCCTGGGCATGAGTACGCCACCACGCATCCACAATGATGCGAAATGGGCCAGCGGAATGAGCGAAACGTTCCAATACATATTCACACATCCCAGAATAACTTATATTTCCGCATGTTTTTTGGATGCTCGTGTTCGACCCTACTTCCCGTATTTTCTAATTTCTGGAAGCCCACGACTATTTGTGTCTGCATGCTTATTTCTATCCTGAGTCTTGACTGTAAAGGGCCACCTGACACTAGGGGCCCGACCACCCGAAACCTTCCACAAGAAACCCAACCCTGATACCCCAAGCCGTCCATGGATTTTCGATGTGGGAGCGTCACGCCTTCCACAGCAAGGCCATCGAAACCCAAGAAGCCCAGGGCATCCCGGAGGCAAGCAGGGTGTTTCTTGGCATGGGCCTCCACTGTAAGCTGTCACCTGTCCTGGGCTGCAGCGGCAAGCTGGCCATCGCTCGGACGTCCATTTCCTGTGTTTTTTTCGGTTTCGTGCGTGGTTTTTTCGCCAAATGATCAAGAATGCTCCTCGATGGTCCCCGCCGAGGACGAAAACCGCACACGTCCGAGCGATGCCAAGCAAGAGGCTCGTCGCGGTCAGAGCTGCGCGGCGGACCACGCGGTGACACACTGCGCCCATGCTGCTGGCAGTCCACCTTGACGGCAGGACCTGGGACAGAATCACAGCCTTCAAGATCCTCTGCGGCGAACAGCGCCCATGCGCTTGGCAATCCCCCTTGACGGGCGGACCTGGGACAGAATAACATCCTTCAAGAGCACGAGATCCTCTGCCGGCCAAACTGGAGTACATTCGAGACTACCCTCCCCCAGGGCCCCAGGATGCACCAGAACATCCGACAGACACGAATAACAGTAGGGCACCCTCCCCGAACCGACCTCGATCTTATACCTCGGTCCGACTGTGAAGCTCACACGCCTGGGGCAACCAATGGCAGGACCCTGGTCAACTGGCGGGGAATCCAACCGCACTCCAGGGGCTGCGCTGGAGGCGCCGCTTTATGTGGTCCAACACCGACACACGTGGGCCTCGGAACATTTGTGTGTTCTGCCTCTTCGTTTTGAATCCCTCGGCAGCAGCCGAGAAGGTTGAGGGGCAACGATACGGGGACCAGCCGAAGGGGGGGAAACATCGAGCTGGAATCGGCGATGCATCGCCAATAGATCGGCGACCCCTGGTGGCGAATCCGAATGCTCCCAGACGGGAAATGGCTATCGGGTCCCATCTTGGCGATGAATGGGCGATTGGGGGTCAATGCATCCCCCTCAGCCTTTCCCTGACGTTACCAGTGGCTTTCGGGCCATAGCTCAACTCTCCAGCGGCCGTTCGCAACGATCTGGGCACCCACCAGAACGCTCTCGGCGAGGCGCGGCCGCTGGATGCGTCCCGAGGCTGGACAGCCGCCGATCACCGACGGAAGCTCCTAGAACATTTCGGATCCAACCCACCGACGTCGCATCCTTTTCCGCAGCGTGGACCCCCAGACGCCCCGACCCATCCCATGCCCCGGGGGCCGGCGCTTAACGGTCCCCGGGACCGGCGAGGGCCCCCAGGAGGCCGAAGACAGCGCAACACCTCCCGTCGTGCTGCTTGCATGGCTCGAGGGCTTCTGGGTCCAGGAGGTCTGGGCACTCGTAGGAGCTGCGCACCCCGTCGTGCAGTAGCAAGACGCCGTCCGTTGTGCTTCGTGCCATCGCGCGGACGTGCATCTCTCGTGCATGCGTCGGTGAGGAGGAGGAGGAGGAGGAGGAGGAGGAGGAGGAGGAGGAGGAGGAGGGTTTCGTGCGTGCTCCTTTGTGCAAGATGATCCAGGATGCTCCTCGCCGGTCTCCCCCGCGGGAAAAACACACACGCGCCCGAGCGATGCCGAGTCGTAGCCCAGAATTGCTCTCTTCGCCGAGTCCATGAATAAAAACGTCGAATGTTCGTCCTACGAACATACGACACCCGTTTCCTTCCAATGTTCGTCGAATGTTCGTTGAGAGTCAAGCGTCGAATGTTTTCGTCCTACGAACCTACGACACCCGTTTCCTTCCACGGCCTCGGCGGGGGAGAAAACAAAACCTGGGGATCATCAATTCTGTAGTCGACCCCGTGCACGTCGTTCAGTTCTAATCGCGCTCATTTCTAACTGTGCTCGTTTCTGATCGTTCCTGGCCCCCTGGTGGCCAGGAAGAGGCCCAGGATAGAACACGTAGAAATGAGAGGATCCGGGCCCCCCAAAGAATCAAAGAATCTTCGAAGAAGCAGAAATGAACTTTGTCGGAAACTGGGACGTATGCACTACCAATGGCGGGCTGTTTCTTGAATCCCAGGACTTTTCGAGGGTCGGGGACGACGCTTGGGCGGTGTGGTGTATACTTTTTTCCCCGACGTCCCCGGAAAACGACGAAACATGCATACACCAGGATCCCGTGTACACCAGAATCCGCGTTCCCGTGCGAATTTCAGCGCGGGGTCGGGAGAAGCGACGGTGTATATAGAGTTCGCCTTCCTACACTGTGTGCTCGAATCCTGGGGGCGAAGCACCCCGTCGCTTCTCCTCCTCCTCCCCCTCCTCCCCCTCCTCCTCCTCCTCCCTCCTCCTCCTCCTCCTCCTCCTCCTCCTCCTCCCTCCTCGTCCTCGTCCTCGTCCTCGTCCTCGTCCTCGTCCTCGTCCTCGTCCTCGTCCTCCTCCTCCCTCCTCCTCCTCCTCCTCCTCTTCCAGCAGCAGCACGCCTCCTGGCGTGCTCTCTCTTTTTTCCCACGCCCCGCCCGAGGGCCGCAGCCTCGAGACACCCTTCCCCCGGGCACGTGCGCCTCTCCCTGGCGGTGCCCCCGCGCGGGTGGAGGCACGAGGCCCCACGGGGCGCGCGACGACACGGCTCGAAAGCGGGGCGAGTGCTGCTGAAGCCGTGGCTGCTGAGGCGGCCCTCCCGGAAGGGAAAAACACAAATTCCCGGCAGGAGGCGCGGCATGCGAAACGGTCCACGGGCCTCTTCCCGGAAGGACGAAGAAGACGACTTCCCGGAGGTCGATTTTGGCAGCCACGGATTTAGCAGCCCTTGCCCGGCTTCCGAACAACAGAAGACCCCAGGCAAGACATGGCACGATGACATAGCAGAACCGAGCCGACACATCGGATCGGCAATCGAGACGAATCGGATCGTTGGAGATCGGCAGCCCAGTCGGGAGAAACCGAGTCGGCGGAATTCGGCAGGGCATGAGCCCTCCATCAAGAAATTGTGATCCAAATCCAAATCGGAATCCGAAGTCGAATCGAATCGGAATCGGAAGCCATCGACATCGAATCGAATCGAATCGGAGGAGTCGAAACCAGCCCTGACATGCCTCGCCATCGCTCGGACGTCCATTCCCCGTGCATGTTTCGGCAACGTGTTTTTTCTTTGTTCGCAAGATGATCCGCGATGCTCCTCAATGGTCCTCGCCGAGAAAAGATGCACACGCCCGACCGATGCCAAGATACCAGTAAACGTCAGCCTTGGAGGCGTGCTTCCGACCAGTTTATATGGTGAAGCAATGTTGTATGGTCGGACCTAGGACAACATTAAAATCCTTCAACACATATGATGCGTCCTCTTTGGAACTGACTGCCCAAGCACGCAACACGCAACACGCAACACGTAGCCGATTGATACGGAGCTCAACACGTAGACAGAAAAGGCAGAGGGGTCAGACGCGATACGTTCGTCGAGTCGTGGGCCAATACGCTGAGCCAACACGCAACGTAGTGCTACAGACGTTTTGAGCACGGCGCGCGCTGCGTATCAGAGCGGGTGCACCGAGGCCGTTAAGCCCTGGAGGCGTGCGCCCGACCCGAGCACGTCATGACACAATCTTGTGCGGTCGGACCTGGGGCAAAAAAACAAGCATCCTTCAAGAACACGAGGCCCTCCGCCAGCCACACGGAAGAACACCCGAGGGCCCCCCCCCAGGATGCACCATAGGAGGAGGAGGAGGAGGAGGAGGAGGAGGAGGAGGAGGAGGAGGAGGAGGAGGAGGAGGATGCACCATAGCATGCAACAGACACGGAGAACACGGAGGCACCCGCCCCGAACCGAGACCCAGATCTTATACAGTCATCGGCCTGACCTAAGGAACGATACATAAGAAACGAAGCCCCTTTTCTGATCCCAAGGCATAACGCATAAGGAACGATAGCTAGCACACAACGCATCAGGAACTGTACACTACGCATGCAAGCCTAAGGAACGACCGAGCCCCTTTTGAAAAGTAAGTGTTCCTTATTCAAGCCGCTCACTGTACCTCGATCGGACCGCATACTCCAGATTTCGTAATAAAGGGAGGGGGGTCTCATTTCGGGGGGGGGTCTCTTCCAGGCTATCTTGGAGGGCCTGGGGGGGTCTGGGGACGATGTTTTGGAGGGTTCTCCCACGGGGGAGGTCTGAAATGGCTTGTCTTGGAGGGTCCAGACCCCCTCCCTTTCATTACGAAATCTGGAGTGCCCCCCACGCTTCTTTCGGCGGTGGACAACCCTCCCTTTAGTAGACCTCCCCTTAGTGCAAAACGGCCTGGGGCCGAAACCGACGGACCTGGACCCGCAAACAACGACGGCCGCGACGCCCTCTCGCGAAGGGAAACCGGCCAACTCGCTAATCGGCGTGTCAGGGTCGGAGGTCTGTACCCCCCCGATTCTTAAGACACCCGGAGCAGTGTTCCCTGAGCGGTGGTGGCCAGAAGGCGCTCCGCCACGGACGGAGCCTGCACTCTCAGACTCCTCGGCGCGCGCGCGCCGCGCCCCTTGGGGGGGGGCCGACGCACACGCAGTTTTTGGTCGGCGGCGAGCGACGGGGGGGAACTGAGACGGCGAGAAGGAGAAGGAGAAGGAGAAAGAGAAAGCTCTCTGAGAAGGACAGGGAGAAGGCCCTCTGAGAAGAAGAAGGAGAAAGAGAAGGAGAGAAGGAGAAGGAACAGGAGAGGAGAAGGAGAAAGAGAAGGAGACAGCGGCGGGGCTTCTCAGAAACTCTCGCGCCTTCTGAAGAGTTTTTTCTGCGTCTTCCAGAAAAAGGCTCGGACAACTTCTCGGAAGGCCGAGGGGGCTTCCGAGCCATCTGAGCGAGGGGGAACTGAGAAGGAGAAGGGCCTCTCAGAAAGCGGCGGGGCCTCTCAACAACCCGCGCGCTTTCTGAGCCTCCGGAAAAGCTCCAAACGACTTCTCGGAAGGCCCGGGGGGTTCAGAGCCTCCTGGGAAGGTCCGCCCCTTCTCGATGCCCCCCTGGGCTCGCCGTCGAACAGTACATATGTATAATGTGTATATGAACATTTATATATATATATATATATATACATCGATGAGTTTATATATATATATATATATATACACACAAATATGTTTGACATGTAGGGCGACGAAATCTATACCTTCCTACTGCTCCCTGTCGGGCCCCCTCCTGAATCCAGCAGCATTGCCGAATCGGCACGCCCTCCTCGCTTGGAGAGGAGGGCGAAATGCACAGCTCCTGGGCTCAGGATGGGCCTGGCCAGGGAGCAGTGGCTGTGCACAGATCTCGTCGCCCGTTAGCGTTGGCATGTTTGGGGGGAAGATCCCCGAATGGGATCGAGACGTCGGATCGGCGACCAGCATGAATCGCATCGGCGGACGTCGGTAGCCGAGTCGGGGAAAATCGAATCGGCAGAACTCTAGTAGGCCTCCGTTGAGAAATCGGATTCCACTCGGCGGTGGACAAACCTCCCTTTACTAGACCTCCCCTTCGTGAAAACGGCCTGGGACCGAAACCGACGGACCTGGACCCGCAAAAATGACGGCCGCGACGCCCTCCCGCGAAGCGAGAACGGTCAATTCCTCAATCGACGTGTCAGGGTAGGAGGTCGTCTGTCCACCTCCGATCCATTGAGAAATCGGATTCCACATCGGAGTCCGAAGCAATCGGAAGCCATCGGAATCGAACCGAGACCTCGGGCCTTCGAGGGGCAGAGCCCTCTTTCTCAGGGACCAGGGAGGCTCAGGATGCTCAAGAGGAGGAGGAGGAGGAGGAGGAGGAGGAGGAGGAGGAGGAGGAGGAGGATGAGGAGGAGGAGGAGGATGAGGAGAAGTCGAAGCGCGTCGGCATCGGAAGCCATCGGAATCGAACCGAGACGAGTCGGAGGAGCCGAAACCAGGCCCAGGGCGGCGGGCAGCCTCGAGAGCCGCGCGAGGGGATAGCCTCCCCTGCTCCTCCTCCTCCTCTGCGGGCACAACCCCAGGCCCCTCCTCCTCGTCGTCCTCCTCCTCCTCCTCCTCCTCCAACTGCTCGTCCTCGTCCTCGTCCTCCTCCCCTCCTCCCTCCTCCTCCTCCTCCTCTCGTCCTCCTCCTCCTCCTCGTCGTCCTCGTCCTCCTCGTCCTCCCTCCTCCTCCCTCCTCTCTCCCTCCTCCTCCTCCTCCTCCTCCTCCTCTCTCCTCCCTCCTCCTCCTCCTCCTCCTCCTCCTCCCCCTCGTCTTCCTCCTCGTCCTCCTCCGAGGCCGGGGCGGCGGGGCTCGGCGTCCTCCTTCTGCGGCAGCGTCTTGAAGAAGTCGTCCGGCGCGGCGCCGGGCGCGCCGCGCGGCCCCGCCGCCGAGCACGCGGTGGTGGACGAGCACGAGCCGCCGCCCTGCGGCTCCTGCGGGGCCGCCCAGAGAGGCCGACCAACGGCCAGCAGCGGATCGGCGGCAGGCAGCGGCAGACGGCGGGCCTCCTGGGGGAAGCCGAGGAGCGGACGAGACACAAAGCACAGGGGCCGCTCCTTCTCGCCCTCGTACCCCTCCCCCTCCTCTTCCTCCTGCCCCTCCCCCTCCCCCTCCTCCTCTTCCTCCTCCCTTTCCACCTCCCCCTCCTCCTCATTCCTCCTCCTCCTCCTCCTCCTCTCCTCCCCTCCTCCCTCCTCCTCCCTCCCTCCTCCTCCTCCTCCTCCCCTCCCCCTCCTCCTCCTTTCCTCCTCCTCCCTCCTCCTCTCATCCTCTCCTCTTCCCCCTCCCCTCCTCCTTTCTCCTCCTCCTCCTCCTACTCCTCTCTCCTCCCCCCCCCCCCCCCCCTCCCCCTTCCCCTCCCCCTCCCCCTCCCGAAGAGGACCTCCGGGGGGCCCGCTCCCCTGAGAGCCCCCGTCTCGCGTGCAGCGAACATAGAACATGAGGCCCTCCGCCGGCCAGCGTGAAGGACACTCGAAGGTGCCCTCCCCCAGGATGCACGACAACATCCAACAACCACGAAAAGCACTAGGGCACCCTCCCCGAACCGACCTCGATCTTGTACCTCGGTCCGGCTGTATCCGCGTCTGCGCCCTCGCGGTCTGGACCCTGGGGCGCGATCCCGCGGATACGCGGTCTCACGGATGCGATCCGCGCGGTGCATCCGCGGGGCCCGGCCCACGAGGCCGCGGATACGGACATGTTTTTCGCCCAGAAGTCGGGCCTGTCCCCGTACAGGCCGATTTTGGACGGAAAATTTAAAATACCCCCAACATGCACCAAACATGCTAAACAATTGTCAAAAACTAGTCCCCCGTCTATTTTTACACTATTTTTGAATATTCCCCCTGTAAAGGGATATGCCCGACATAAGCCTTCCCGGACGGCGCCGGGCAAGCAGTCCCTCAGCTCCGCGCTCCGCGCGGTGCTCTCCGCGGCTCCCGCGCCGCCCGTCGCCTCTTCGGGGGTGGGCAGGAAGCCCCTCTGCAGCAACACGCCCTCCAGCGAGAGCTGCTACAGGGAAGCAAGAGGGAGGAGGCCTCCTCGGAAGGCGGCGGGGCTTCTCAGAAACCCTCGCGCCTTCTGAGAACAGAACGCGGCGGGGCTCCTCAGAACCCCTTCTGAGAAGTATTCTGTGCCCTCGGAGAAGGTCTATAAGACTCCACCTCCACCTCCCCTTCCCCCTCCCCCTCCTCCTCCTCCTCCTCCTCCTCCTCCTCCTCTTCTTCCTCCTCCTCCTCCTCCTCCTCCTCCTCCTCCTCCTCCTCCTCCTCCTCCTCCTCCTCCTCCTCCTCCGGCTCCGGCTCCGGCTCCTGCTCCTGCTCCTGCTTCTGCTCCTCGCCCCTGCTTTCGCCCCGCGGCGGCACCGCATTCTGAGTGCCCCCCAGCGGGGTAGCTGCAGTCGGGGCGACGGCCTAAGGAAGCCTAAAGGAGGAACGAGGCCCCTCTGTTCCATAAACGAAACTTCGCCTTCCCGTCGAAAACCTCTACTACGGAAAACCTGAGGCAACCTATGAAACAATTAAGGAACACGGCCCTGGCCGCCGCCTCTTGGCTGCTGCGGACCCTCTCTGATGTCCCCAGCTGTTTCCACCTCGCCCGCTGTCGCCGGCTGGTTCACACCCGTGCCCACTTGGCCTCTGCCACTGTGCTGCTGGAGCAGCTGCGGTGCGGGTGATGTCCACCGGAATCGCTGCCGAGGACAGCTGCGGGCTTCCGGTCCGGAACCCTCCCCAACGAAAAGGGTCCCTTCTTCAGCGCCCCGACTGTCATCCACGTCCCCGGAGTGGCCGAATGCAGCCGGCGAAGGGCACGCCGATCAGCGACACCGACTGGGGGCTGCACCGGCACGCTCGGGTGCCAACGTCGACTTGCCGACTTCCTCGGTCGGCTTGTCTGGGTTGAGCAGGGTCCGACCGTCCCGGCATCCCTATAGTCCTACCACGGAGTGCTCTTAGAACCCAACAGTGCTCGAATCACAGAAGCAATGTTATTAGAACATGACCCCGACGTGTGAAAACACGGCAGTCCCAACCAGAAATGCTCTAAGATCACTTCGTGGAAACCACAAACAGGTCTCAGAACATTCTTTGGTAGGCCTATAGGCGAGCCGGGACGCTTCGCCACTGCTTCACTGGGGCGGGCTTTCCTCCAGCGCCCGATGGCTGGAGAGCAGCTCGCCGGCTTGCCGAGCGCCAGCCCCGCTGCGTCCCGCCCCGGCTCGTGCAGCCGCGCCCCCCCCCCGACATCCGACGACGGCCGCGTCCCCAGACGGGCGCCGCGAGGCCGCCAGATTTCGGTCGGGCGCGTCCCCCTACAGGCGGATTTCGCGCGAAGAATAACCCATAGTCGAAACATGGTTAAATATAGCCAGAAATAAGCAAAACAACCGTCCCCTAACTATTCTTGTGACCATGTTTGAATAGTTACTCCTCCTGTGGCGGGAAGGCCCGACTGAACGCCAGATCTGTGGGTCCTCGGCCTCGTGTGCTGCCCGATGCTCGCCTCCCTGGAGAGATTCCCCCTGCAGCGCACGCGTGCAGGAGTCTTCGGGCCTCGAGTCATCCACGGAGTGCGGGGGCCACCAGAAACGATACCGGGGACGATGGGGCACAGCACAGCGAGCAGGCACCGCGCGTCCACAGGTAACATCCAGCGACGTGATGTTTCAAATCCGGGGCCCCAGATGTCCTGTAGAACCAAGCCAGGACGAGGATAACACCCGGTGATAGTACATCGAAAACCTCTGAGATGCCGCGCTTCTGGAGGACGTCTCGGGCGCCGCGGCCTTCGCAGAGCGTCCCGGAGCGCTCCGAGAGCGGTCCAGAACGCTCTGGAACGGATTGATCCTCGTTCTAGCCCCGCCCGATCCCGACCCCTCCCACGGGGAACATCTTTCGCCCCAGATCCATGCTTCGTGGCCCCGGGGCGCACAGAAGCGAGAGGCCGAGATCGAGGAGAACCTCCTGGGCTCATCCGCGCCCTAGCCCCGTCAGCAAGCGGCCGGGGGAGGGGGGAGGGGACGGCGCGACCTACAGTCGGGGCGTTGACCTAAGGAACCCAAAATAAGGAACGAGGCCCCTTTTCCCCATACGTTAACCTTCGATTTCCTGTCGAAAACATAAGGAAAGCCTGAGGCAAGCTGTGAAACAATCAAGGAACACCGAGCCCCTCCCCAACGAAAAGCGTTCCTTCTTCAAGGCCCCGACTGTACGGGAGAAGCGCGAGGATCATGTACCCCCATCGTGCTTGAGGTCCACATCTCAGCAATCACTTCGAGCATCCAGAACATACCGACGCAGTGCCTGCCCGACGCGCTGGCGCGAAGTACCCGACGAGAACATCGCCTGCCAGGGCCCGACACGTGAGAGTGAAAGCCCCCCCCCGTTTCGGTAGTTTCTTGGTGCTCGAAATTCTCTCTGGCGATCCAGGCTAGCATGAGATGGAGCATCACAACGCGAGGAGGGCAAGAGGGAGGCGGCACGCGGTGAACCTCCTACAGTGGAGGCCAGTCCACAAGAGACCTCCCACAAGAAACCCAACGCTGAGACCCCAGGGCGTCCATGGATTGTTGGTGTGGGAACGTCGCGCCCTCCACAGCAACACCCTCGAAGCCCGAGAAACCCAGGGCACCCTGGAGGCAAGCAGGGTGCTTCTCGGGAGCGGCCAAGAGGGGGGTGTCGTCCAAGAGGGGGTGGGTGCAAATCATGACCAGCGGCATGTGCGCAGCCCAGCGGGGAGGCCAGGGACGTAATGAAACAAGAAGAGGCGCCATGGAATCCGGGGAGATATCCTGGCCCACGCCATGATATCCCCCCCCCTCAGTCATCCCCCCTTGCCGCCCCCGAGCTTCTTGGCATGGGCCCCCACCGTGCTCCTGCCGAGCCGGGCCGAAGAGCACACGCGAGAGCGCGAGGCGGAGCAGGCGCACGGGAGCGGCGCGCGGCGGGGAGGGACGGCGCCTTCCGACCCGTCCACCCGCACGGGAGAGCGGCGAGGCGGCAGAGCCCAGGGCGGGGCGGGGGGCGGGGGAGGAGAGGCCAGGCGGCGCGCCCCGTCTCGCGGATCCTCAGGAGGCGTGCTGGCGCCAGCGTGTGTGCGCGGGGTTGCCCCTGTTTGAGGCCCTTCGACACGACACGCAGGCGATGCACCGAGCTACCAGGGGGGCCGAACGGTGAGGACACTTTTTTCCAGCGCAAGGCGAGCCCCTCGGCGAAAGCGCGGAGAAGAGGGGGAGGGAGGGAGGGAGGAGGTGAAACAAGACGAGGCAGCTGAGCCCGGAGCTGCCAGCGTTAGCCTGGTGTAGACACACATTGGGCTAACACGCACGTCCTGGGGATCCTCGACTGCGGGGGGGGGCGAGACGGCTCGGGCTTTCTCGGAAGGCTCTGCGAGCCCCACGGCCTCCAGAGGACTCCGCGGAGCCTTCCCCGCGACAACACATGCGGGCAACCTTTCTCGGGAGGCAATGGGGGCCTCTGGGAAGGCGGGAAGGCCTCCTCCTCCTCGCCTCCCCCCCGTCGCTCGCCGCCGAGCGGGGGGGGGGAGACGACGCGACCGAGGGGAGGGGAGGAGGAGGAGGGGGGGGGAGGAGGAGGAGGAGGAGGAGGAGGAGGAGGAGGAGGAGGAGAGGAGGAGGAGGAGGAGGAGGAGGAGGAGGAGGAGGAGGAGGAGGGGAGGAGGGAGGAGGGGAGGAGGGAGGAGGAGGAGGAGGAGGAGGAGGGAGGAGGAGGGAGGAGGAGGAGCGGAGGAGGAGGAGAGGAGGAGGAACAGGAGGAGGGAGGAGGAGGAGGAGGAGGAGAGGAGGAGGAGGAGGAGGAGGAGGAGGAGGAGGAGCAGGAGGAGGAGGAGGAGGACAGGAGCAGGAGCCGTCGGAGCTCGGCTCGGAGCGCAGCGTGCACCGGAGCGCACCGCATCGGTGCGGAAAGTGGGCATGGAAGCGAAGCGGCGGCGCCGGGGTGCACAGCAGCGGGGGTTTGCTCGAGGTGCAAGGTGCCGCCCAAGGGGCCCCCTCGGCCCTCGGGACCTCTGGACCTTGCTCGAGGTGCAGGGTGCCGCCCAAGGGGCCCCCTCGGCCCTCTGGACCTCTGGACCTTGCTCGAGGTGCAGGGTGCCGCCCAAGGGGCCCCTGGTTGGCCCTCTGGACCTCGTGCAGGGGGTGCTCCCTGGAGGCCGTGGGGGGCCTCCCTGGAAATCCCGGGGGCACCTCGGGCCAGGGGCACTTCCAGCACTCCCCGACAGCAGCGCCCTGCAGGCCTCGAGCATAACTCAAAACACCGCCCCCGCGTGATTTTTGTTCGGACTATGTTTTAAGATTCCCCCCGTAGAGGAACCTGCCCGACTCACTCGGGCGTTGGCAGAACTGGGTTTAGTGGGACGTGGTTTATGGTTGTGTACTGGGGGCGCCCCCCCTGCCCCGTTCCACTAACTGGAACTGCCGTCACCCGATAAAAGCACGAGCTGCGGCGGACCTGGCTCAGTGCTTCTGGCCAGTTCAGGGGCCCTGGGGCCCTGCCACAGACCGGGGTCCCTTACCTGGGGTCCTGGCTATACCCGACCTGCGTACAGTCGGAGGAAGGAAGCCACGCTGCTCGGGGGCGGCCAAGGGGGGGCGCCAGGGACGTCATGGCATAAGAAGAGGCGCCATGAAATCTGGGGAAATATCATGCTTGGGGGCCTCTTGGGCCGTTCTGGGGCCATCTTGGATGCCTCTTGGGCGATATTGGAGCGATCTTTGGAGGCTCTTGGGCCGTCTCGGGCCGTCGGAAGGCCGAACAAGAAGCAAATGCCAAAATCCCTCAAAAACCTAAGGACAACCAATGATTCTGGCCTCTTTCCGCCCCCCCCCCAGTCCTCGCCCCCCTCTCTGCCGCCCCCGAGGGAGGGAGGGCACGCTGCGCCGCCAGGGCGCTTCCTTGGGGGATGGACAGACCTCCCTTTAGTAAAACGTGGTTTAGTGAAAACGACCTCGGGCCCAAACCTGGCGGGCACAAGCCTGGAAAATAACGCCCGCGACGCCCTCTCGAGAACCGAAAACGGACAATTCACTAATCGACGTGTCACTGTTAGGAGGTCTGTCCTGTTTTTGGGGGGGGGGAGGCTGGCCGGGGCAGGGCTCCTGCGCCTCGGCGCCCGAGGGCGCCCGAGCGGCGTCGCCCTCCAGCAGCGCCCTCACGAGGTGGCTCACGACGTCGCGCATGTCCTCGGTTCGGCGCCGGGCCCTCCCTGGCCCTCAGTTGCACCTCGCGCGCGGGTTTTCAGGAATTGGGTTTCTTGCGAGGGTTTCTTGCGCCCGCGCCCGCACTGTAAGGATGCAAGGGCCTTGGAGCGCCATGTTGACGTCTTCCGTGCGGAGCGCAGCAGAATGCCGAAGGATGCCGAATGCCGAATGGGGCGAGGATGCAAGGGCAGCCTTGGAAAGTTGCCCCATCCTTACTATCATGGCTGACTGTAGTGGGCCAGAGCCTGACTACCTACCAGACCACCCCAACCCAACCCGAAGACCCGAATTTCGGGTTAGGGGGGGGTACGGGTTCCATACGCGTTTTCTCCATATTCCCCGACCCCCCCCCCCAGTGGAAATGGAGGGCAAATTGAGTGGGTGGTGATATACACCGACGCATTTGTTTGGCCTCACATTGATTCGCACAGGAAAGCGGATCCTGGTGTATGCGGGATCCTGGTGTATACATTCTTCGTCGTTTCCTCCGGAGAATGGGGAAACAAGTGAAACAAGTATACACCACACCACCCCGACGTCGTCCCCGACCCTCAAAAAAGTTCTGGGATTGAAAAGCCGCCCGCCACTGGTAATGTCTATTAATGTATATGCTCCAATTTCCGATGTTGGAAGTCGGTAAGGGGTGTGTCATAAAGGGGCATGGTGGCACTCGTGGAGATGGCGATGCAATGACATCGCTAGATTCCCCTTTACATGAAATTAGCACCACACCCCTTTATACCATGCCCCTTTCCGACCTCCAGAGGCTTGCGCAGAGAGTCTAGAGTCGGCCCGTCTCACACGGAGGCGCGAGAAGGATGCGAGGGCCCTGGAAGGCCACGTCGAAGCTGCTCGAGAGGGGCGCGGCCAGCGAAGGTGGCCAAGGATGGACCGAGGAGGCAAGGATGCGAGGGTACCCTTGGGAAGGTTGCCCATCCGTACCATGCGGGTAGACTGTGATGGGGGGGCGGTAGCTGGGGGGGGGAGAGGAGCCCTTCTGGGCCCGATAGGGCCCGAGTGGGGGCGCCTTTTCCGCAGCCCTCGCTGCCCCCCCACGTAGAGCCCCCCAAATACGCGGCCTCATCTCTGAGATCCGGCGGCTCTGGAGGATGTCTCGGGCGCCGCGGTCCTCTCAGAGCGTCCCGCACAGCTCTGAGAGCGGTCTGGGAAGCTGTGGAACAGATTTAGCTCGTCCCAGCCCCGTCCGAGAGCGGGCAAGCGAAGCCGCTTACGTAGTAGACGCACCCAAGGAAGAAATCGAACAGCACAGGGCTGCTAAAAAACGCCCAGGGCCATGCAGAACATGCCAATTATGGAAGTAAGGATGGCCTTCCTCCCTTACGATGCGAAGCACGTCAAAATCCCGCGCCCCCCCTCCTCATCTTCCTCGCTCAGGTCGGAGGCGACGATATGGGGCGAACAGATCAGGGGAGAGCATCACACGTATCCCTCCGAGAGCCTCGCTGAAGACATGGATCTCTGGCGCCCCTGCATACCTGTGTTGCCCCCCCCTGGCCTCTTATTTGGCGCGCGGTCGCCAAATCCATGGATTAGGGGAGGTGCCCTCCCCAAAATGCGGCCGGTGCCGCCTCGCCCGGCGGCGGGAATCCGCGATTACCCATGGAAGCAGGACCCGTCGCTAATCCACGCCCCCTTAATCCATGTTTGCGATCGCCTGAAACAGTCCCAGACATCTGACCCTCAGGCCGAGCCCCCGATCCCTTCCCACGGATGCAATTCCCTGTCCTGGAGCCGTTTACGACTGTCCCACCGCCTGACAGCTCCCCTTCCAGGCCGAGATCGGACAAGCACGCGGGGGTCGGAAACAGAAATCCAACGGTTTGGACGCCCGAAATGGGTAAGGTAAAAATGGGTACGATGCCAACCATCAAATGTTGTCCAAAACAACGACAGCGGCCGCTGTTTGGCAAACGGCCTTCTGCCTCGAATGAACAACGTCTGCGGCGACGCCGACAGCGAACCCGGTTCAAAATTAACAAGACATGCTGTCGGTCTTCGTACTAATTCTTTCGGTACACATTTCGATCGCACCAATCTAAGACTTTCGTGCCCCGCCATTCCCAACCCCTGCTTCCGCCCCCCCCCTCCCGACGGAGCGCGGAGGGAACGAAGCCCATTTGGGGACCCAGTTGCGCCCATCTGGAGCGCCAGTGGACGACCCATGGACAAAACCCAAGGGACATCGAGCCTCACGAACTGTTTGCGACGCAGCCGGTTCGACCGAACCGAGGACACCATGTGTGAACCTCGTCGTCTGGCTCTCAGGTCCGGAGTCGGCTCTCCGGCGTTTTTCGGGAGGCGCTCTCTCAGGGAGCTCTCTCAGGGAGCGCAGGTGCTGGTGGGTCGGGCACGTCCTCCTACAGACGGGCTTGGAACGAAAAACGAAACATAGGCAAAAATGATTCAAACGTAGACAAACAAATAGTCAAGACAATCCTCCCTGGACTAGTGTTTCTACTGTTCTTGAATACTCCTCCTGTAATTAGAGGGCCCTGCCCCACATATAGAGCTGCCGCAGGCAGCCCGAGGCGAGACGACCGCCGAGAACGGACGAGCACGCCCGAGAACCTCGAGCCCAGACCCCCCGTCGTCGTGATTCCTTCGCAGCGCGAGCCCCCCGACGCCCAGGCCCTGATCCTCGGCGGCGAGCGGGGGGGGGGAAGTGCGAAGGAGAAGGCCCTCTCAGGAGGCGGTGGGGCTCCTCACCGCGCCCTCTGAGAAGCCTTTTGTTGTGCCTTCGGGGAAGGCTTAGAGAGCTCCTCAGAAGGCCCGGGGACTTCCGAGCCTTCTGAGGAGGCCTTCTCCTTCTCGCTTCCCCCCCTCGCTCGCGGCCGGATCCTCCTTCCCGCGCCTGCTGCCCGCGGCCTTTCCTGGACCCCGCGCCGAGCATTGGCAGGCGCGTGCTTTTGCCCACGCGCCTGGTGGCGCATGGCTTGTTCGCTCCTCCATCCACGAGGGCCGAAGCCCCAGGTCGGGCATGTCCTCCTACAGGCGGGTCTTGGAGGGAACATTTAAAAAATAGTCAAACCTACTCAGAAATTCGCCGATCCGGTGTGTGAGTTTCTGAGAGCGTGGGCTCGAGCTCGCTCAAGCCCCGCTCTGCAGGGGGGAGGAAAGGCGTACGCTATTTCCGACGTCATTTCCGACGTTTTTCGGTACCCAAGGACAGGGGGGTCTAGAAAACTCCAATTCCGGAGCCCAGACCGCCCAAGACAGCCCAAGAGGAAGCCAGCCCGAACGGCTATCATCCTCTCGCTCTCACCCCCTCCCGGATCGGCGGCACTGGCCCGAGGCCAGCCCAATATCCCAAAATAGTCAGGACATCGTCCCCAGTCTATGGTTCGACTACTCTTGGATCCTCCTCCTGTAGAGGGACGTGCCCGACTTGACCGAAGCCCTAGGTCGGGCATGTCCTCCTACAGGCGGATCTCGGAGGGAAAATTCAAACATAGTCAAACATACCCAGAAATACCCCCAAATAGTCCAGACATCGCCCCCATTGTATGGTTTGGCTACTCTTGGATCCTCCTCCTGTAGAGGGACGTGCCCGACTTGACCGCAGCCCTCCGCCGTTGCTTCCGCCCGCCCCCCCCCTCCGACGGGGCTTGTTCGCTCCTCCATTCACGAAGGCCGAAGCCCTAGGTCGGGCATGTCCTCCTCGAGGCGGATCTCGGAGGGAAAATCAACAAAAATAGTCAAACATACTCAGAAATACCCAACAAAAGTCCGGGCATCGTCCCCAGTCTAATTATGGTTCGGCTATTCTCTCGGATCTGCCTCCTATAGAGGGACGTGCCCGACTTGACCGCAGCCCTAGGTCGGGCATGTCCTCCTACAGGCGGATCCTGGAGGGAAAATTCAAAAATAGTCAAACCGACTCAGACATGTCCAAACATAGCCCGGACATCGTCCCCAGTCTATGGCTCGACTACCCTTGGATCCTCCTCCTGTAGAGGGACGTGTCCGGCTTGACCGCCGCCCTCCCGCCCGCCCCCTCCCCCCCGACGGGGCGCGCGGGGCGGGGCGGCGGGCGATCAACGGCTCTCCTCGTCGCCGGGCTCGCCCAGCCTGCGGCGGGTGGCCGCCGTTCGTCGTCCTCCTCCTCCTCCTCCTCCTCCTCCTCCTCCTCGTCGTCTTCGTCTTTTTCGTCGTCGGCGTCGTCCTCCTTCTTCTTCTTCTGCTTCTTCTTGTTTTCTTATTCTTCTTGTTATTATGATCATCCTTCTTCGTTTTTGTTTAATCCTCTTCTTCCTCCTCCACATCCTCCCGGTCCCTTCACCCTTTTCCTCCTCCTCCTCCTCCTCCTCCTCCTCCGCTTCCCCTCTCCCTCCACGAGGCTCAAGGAGGTGGAGCACAAGGAAAAGTTGAGGAGAGGAGGCGGCGGGTCGCCGTGGACCAACTGACGCGCGCACCCCTCCGGGAGAACGCCGTAGCGGCGAGCCTCGGGCAGCCACGAAGCGATGCTCCGTGCAGAGACCGGAGGCGCTGCCTCGGACGCCGCCCTCCGCGCGGGGGGGGGCTTGTGCACCCCGTGTAGGAGAGCCGCGCCCCCGCGGGAGCGGAACTTCCTCCTCCTCCTTCTCCTCCTCTTCCTCCCCCTGTTATTGCTTCTCTAGTTACCTCCTCCTCCTCCTCCTCCTCCTCCTCGTCCTCCTCCTCCTCCTCCTCCTCCTCCTCCTCCTCTCGTCCTTCCTCCTCCTCTTTCCTCCTCCTCCGCCTCGTCTTCCTCCTCCTCCTCCTCCTCCTCCTCCTCCTCCTCCTCCTCCTGCTCCTCCTCCTCCTCCTCGTCCTCCTCTTCCTTCCCGGCGCGCTCGGCCCCGTGCCCTTCCGCCGTGCTGCGGGCCCCCGTGCGCGCGGCGCGCGCTGCGCTTGCTGCCGAGCCTCGTGCGCGCCCCTGGCGCCGCCGCTGCCGCACGGCGCGCCCGCCGACGCGCTGCGGGCGCTCGGAGTGCCTGGCCACGGCCTGCCCAAGAGGAGCAGAAGCGCAGGGCGAGGGCTGCGGAAGCTCCGCGGCCCACCACGACGACGACGACGACGACGACGACGACGACGACGACGACGACGACGACGACGACGACGACGACGACGACGAAGGCGGGCGGCTGCCGTGCGCCACCCCGCGCCGCAGGGGCCGCGGCCGCCTCGCCGCGGGCGCCGCGGGCGCCGCGATGGCTGGCCGCAGCTGCGCCCGTGCGATGCAGGCCCCTTGGAAGAAATGAGCGAACACTCATGCCGCATTCCTCTGCCATTGCCCCCACCCCAACGATCAAGGGACTTGACAAGTCGTCACACATCTTCAGGGAACGTGTACTGTCGCAAGTGTGCTCAGGAACTCACTGTAGAGGTGATCCTGTGCAGGTGCACTGGACCCCCCCATGATCAATGTGGGTGGCGGTGGGTTGAATGAGCTGCACTTCGACCGCAGTCTCTTCCGCTCGTGCCATCTTTGAGCTTGGGGGAGCGGGGGAGTGTCCCCTAATTGTTTCCTTCTACCATACCGCGCACCCCTCAAGCGGTGCGCCTGGGGGGCAACGATTCCGGTGGCAACTCATGGGAGCCTCCCATACCATCTTGTCGGCACTTGCGAATCAACGCTGCTCGCCGCCAATCGACGCCAATCGACGCTAACTCTACGCTAAACCGACGCTAAATCGGCGCTACCTCATCGACTCCCAGCTGACAATCGACGCTAATCAACTCTAAAGACGACTAAGAGGGTATACCAAGCTCCCACGATTTGCAACCGAACACGATTGAGGGGGGACCGTCCCAAGTATAAACATCGCCCTGGAATCAGCGATGCATCGCCGAGAGATCGGCGACAGGCCCTCATCGCAATGCATCGGGACGAGGTACGAGACCGATTCGCTTGGAGCGTACTCGCAACTGACATTGCTAGTGATCATCAGTACGCCGCCATCATCCCAGGCTTTGGTGATGCCATTCGCCAATGCACTCGGTCTACATCCTTGGCGCGGGAATGGCCCAGGGAGGCCTGGCCAAACGCCGACCAGAAGATGTCACCGCCTACCTCCGCGCGAGCTCCGCCACTCAGTTCGGGCCCCTCGGCGAAGAGTCGCGCCTACAGGCTACTCGGGGTTTGTTTGAGTTCGCGAGGCGGCGCAATCAGGGGACCACTGCGCTGCTCTCGCGGGTCCTCACACTGCGATTCCGCGCGTCGCATAACGATGGAACTGCGATGTCGTGGGGAGGCTACAGCTGGCTGCTCCTACGAGAGATCGGCGTCGCCGCCAGCCAACTCGCGATGAGCTCCAGCCCTGCGTTAAGCGATGCCCGGCAACCGAGGCGGAGTTCAGCCAGTCTCGCGACCATGCGCAGGCGCGTCGGTCGCATCGTGGAATGCACCCTAAGACCTTCCCAGAGCCCTCCGTGAACTTCTTTCCTTCGGAGGCTTCGTAGGCGTGGGTTGATAGCAGTCAACCGCCTATGAAACATCTTGGCTAGCACGCAGCAGGCTCTTGGCGTGGACAAGGGCTGGGCCTTTGGGCTGCCGGCGCTGCCGCCCTGCCAGGTGTATGAGGCGCCCCGACTCGCGCTAGTCGCTTTTGGTGGGCGCTTTCTTCTCCTCCCCAGGGCGCCCCCCATCGAGGTGGCGCTAGCGATCGTGCAGGGGGGGGGGGTGCAGCTTGCGATCGTGCCGGGGGGGGGGGGCGGGCTGGGCGCCCGCCGAATTCTGCGGCGCGCGCGGGCGATTAATGCGCCCAGGGCGCGGGCGCGCGGCGGGCGCGCGCCGCGGCCGCCGTCGCCGTCGCCCTCCCGCCCGAGCCCCTTCCCCCCAGGGGCGATGCTCGCTGGACGAGCGCTTCGTCGCCGCGGGGCGCTTACCCAGCCGCCGCGCGGCAGCTTGTCGATGGGGCTCTGGTTTTCGTCGAGCGCCTCAGTGGCACCAGGTCAAGCACCAGTTCAGAGTTAGGGCGGGCTGGCTTGTCCCCGCCCCAGTTCAGCGCCCAGCGTTCCTGGCAGGTGACCGCCGCCAGAAACAATGGGCGCGACGCGTGAACGCGCCCGCCAGAGATGTCGTGCTATTGAGCGAGAAGAACGGACGTGCGTTCTGGAATCTGGGAAAGTGCAGCTGCGCCCATGATTGCAGCTTCCAAGCCGCGCTGGCTGACGACCGAGGTGAACCCGGCGGCGGAAGCAACGTCCGCTGGAAGAACCCGCGCGTGCGCAACGAACAGGTGGCGAAGTGCAGCATTGTGAATCGGAGTACCACTTCTGCGCTGAATGTCCGCAGGTAGGCTCTGGAAGCTCAGGCGCCCTCGGAGGTGGCCCGAGTTTCGGGGGCCATGCCGACCCGGGGCCTCTGCGGTGGATCTCCAGAGGCTGGCCCCCTTGATGGCGTCGCTGGGGTCGCCTTCGTAGTCGCCGAATCATCTCCTGAGCCTCGGACAGCGTCCGACCTCGTTGCCAGGCGTCCGCGGCCAGCGGGGCATCGCAGAATGCCGAGTCAGTCTGCGACTCCTAGTCGGCAGCATCACTCGCGACCGCCCGGAACCGCGCGTGCGTCGGCGCGCCCGGTTTCTTTCCTTCGCCCTGGTTTGTCAAAATTGCCGCTCTTTCGTCAGGGGCGCGCTCGCAGGTGCCAGTGCGACCGCCATTCCCAAGGGCCGCCCCCGCAGCCCCCGGGCCAGCAGCGTCGGAGGGCCTGCCCGGCCTTCGAGCTGCAGCTAACGCGGAAACTCAGGCTGCAGGAAATGTCCCCGCGAACTCAACGCGATGGAGCAGCGGCGTTGCGTTGGGGTCTCCATTCAGCCGGCTGGGGAGCCCGCGGTCGCCGACGACCGGCGAGTCACCGTCCCGCGTCTGGGCGGCCATGGCCAGCTTGCTAGGCCTCGCGAGAACTAGCTTGAGCGAGCTGCCTTGCAGTCCAGAATCGCGATCCGCAGCCGGGGGAGGGGGCCTCGAAGCGTTGCCGAGGCACCGACTAGAGCCCTCTGAACCAACATCGCGCCCGAGCTAGCGCCTGATATCACCGTGCGTCTCGCATCCCTAGCAGGGTGCGATGCCGCGCGCGACGCCCGCCTAGAGCGGCGTCGTCGGGCCCAATGGCGTCAGTTGGCGCAACTGGTGATGAACTTCGTCTCAGATGAACCCCGCCGAGTGCATCGCCGCCCTCGTTGCTGGGGCGTCTACGGAACGGCTCTGTCGCTTTCGGCGCGGAAGTTGATGGTGGCACCATGTGTGGTATACCTTTGCGCTCTTTCCAACCTTGACCTGGTCGATACTCTGGAAAGCAGCCGCCGTTTCCATCAGAGTTGCGCCGACGCTTGGGCTGCCGAGGGCATCGACATTGCCCCCGCCGGGGAACGTCGATGCCCAATTCCGAGGCGACCCATCATTAGCTCCGCATATTCAGTGTCCAACGTGTCGGCAGTAATTCGCAGCGCGGAAAGTCGCGCGCATCCGCGTTGCAACCGCGCCGCGATCAGCCGAGCCTGCAGAGGAATCACCAGCGACGCCTCTGGGAGCCACCAGAGATCCTCTCCTGTGCGGAGGCACCGACCGGGGGGTAGACGCCCCCGCAATGCTCGCTACGACGTCGGCCCGAGATTGCGACTTACCCCGGGTGGTAAGCCGACGACCGCCCCCATCGGCACGCTGCCCAGTTATGTCATGGCTTTGCACAGCCGTCGAGGCCAGGCACCGACCACGGCAGATCCTCGTGAGAGACCATCTGGGCCAGGATCAGGGCCACGCCGCCGCGAGCTGCCAGGGTCGCCGGGGTTGCGGGCAGTCCTGGACGTGGGCAGGCGCGAATTTGCATGTCCGGGAGGCTGCGATATCTGGGCGATCTGGCCTCCCGACGCCGTCCGCACCTCCGCTGCAGACTGGGCCAAGTGGGCACCTAGTCGCAGTTATCGACGAGTTCGCGCGAATCGGCGATCGGCGATACATCGACGTGCGGAACCGCGCGCCCCTCAGAGGTGCGCCTGGGACGCAACGACAGCTTTGGACGACATCATAACGAAGTACACATTAACTCTCGGAGGTCCGCGCGGATTTCATCGGCGCTGGACCCCGGAGCACACTGGGGGCTGCGCTGGAGGCGCCGCCCATGGGGTCCAGCACCGACGCAAGAAATCCGCTCGGACCTCAGAACATTTGTGCTTCTTCCGCTTCTTCTTCTTCTTCTTCTTCGACACCCCGAGCAGGTTGAGAGGCAACGATAGGGGGGACCAGCCCAAGGGGGGGATGATGCATCGAGCTCTGGAATCGGCGATTCCTCGCCGAGAGATCGGCGATGGCCCCCCGCATCTGCACGGTCCTGCGTCCGTGGGCGATGACTGGGCGATTGGGGGTCGATGCATCCCGCCCTGAGCCTACCCACCCTAAACGTTACTCCTGATTTGAAGGGGCCCCAGGACACACAAATAAATACACACGAATAAAAAGATTCCCCATATTTTCACATGTTTCCTGGGTTTTTGTCTTCCCCCCCATTTCCCATATTTTTCCATATTTTCTGGGGAACCGACGATTAATTGTGTCTGTGTGTTTTTTCCCTCCTGATGAATGGCGTCCCTTCAGAGGTGCGACGCCCGCACCGCGCCGCCAACAGATCTCGGTAGTCACCAGTCGCGGTGGTGACAACACCAGGCGGTGACTCTCTGGCGCCTTGTTGTCACCAGCCGCTTTGGGGGCTCCTGTGGTTCTTTGAAATGTCCCGAACGCTGGTGGGTTCAGCAGTCACACAAGCCGGCGGTGACTCCGTGCTCCAATACCCGACGGCGACTTTGTGGGGATGCCAGGTGACCACCGGATATCTCATCACCTGGTTGTGGGGGGGGGCCCGGAGAAATATCGCAGCGGGCATCGGGGCGTGCAGCGACGCTGTCGCTTAATTTGATTATTCATTGACGAGTACAGATCGCCCCATGACAATTGATGCAGCTTCGTTAGGCCAGGCGCCCGAGAGGTCGCATTCTGAATGCCATCCCGAACTGAACAGCTCTGGAGTACCGATGCCTCGCGACCCCTGCGAGGGTTGCTCTCGGGAGCTGCGAACCGCGCCTGGCAGCAATCTCCGGCGCTCCGTGCACAAGGGTTGCATTTTGAGCGTAACAAGTCCCCCAGGTCGCAGCCTCTGGACTCGCCGCCACGCGCCACCACAAGGACAGCATCCTGCGGGCAGGGGAACATTCCCGACACCGCCGATTCGCGGCGCATCGCTCAGAAAGGCCGCCCATGGCCCCAAGTGGACTCCCAAGAGGGCGCCATGACACAACAATCGTTACAGTGGAGGCCAGTCCACAATAGACCTTCCACAAGAAACCCAACCCTGAGACCCTGTAGGACGTCCGTGGATTTCTGGCGTGGGCACGCCACGCTTTCCATGGCAAAACCATCGAGACCCAAGAAACCCAGGGCACCCAGGAGGCGAGCCGGGTGTTGCTTGGCATGGGCCCCCACTGTACTTTCCTTTGGACTTCCGTGGCCGAAGTGTTCTCGTCTCCTCGGGGTTCTTCCAACCCAGCTTTGGATGCCCGAAATGAGTACGGAAATAATGAATACAATGCCCAACAACAAATGTTGTCCCAAACCAGCAGCGGCCGCTGTTGGGCAGGCGGCCTCCTGTCTCGAGTGGACACAGGCCGCGGCGGCGCGGACAGCGAGTCCTATTTATAATGAGTAAGATTCGTTGTTGGGCATTGTACCCACTCTTTCCGTACCCATTTCGCTCGTCCAGAGCCGCTGCGGGCCGCCATGCGCAGAGGGGGGGGCCTTCCGTACCCATTTCGGGCGTCCAAACCAGCACGGACCGCGAGGCGCACCCCCCCCCCCACCGGCCGGAGGCGGCCCAACGAGAGGCCCCCGACAGGGCCCGGAGACACCACGACCAGCCTGGGACGCGCCCCGCAGCAGGGCGGCGGCTCTCCTGGCGCACCCCTCCGCTCGGCCGCGGCGGGCAACGGAGGGTGAGGAGGAGGAGGAGGAGGAGGAGGAGGAGGAGGAGGAGGAGGGAGGAGGAGGAGGAGGAGGAGAAGGAGGAGGAGGAGGAGGGGGAGGAGGAGGAGGAGCAGGAGGAGGAGGAGGAGGAGGAGGAGGAGGAGGAGGAGGAGGAGGAGGAGGAGGAGGAAGGGGGCGCCAGGCGCCTGTCCGACTTCTCCGCGTCGCTCCCGCTGCCCTCGCCGCCGGGGCGCTCCACCGGGAAGTAGGTGTGCAGGAAGCGCGTCAGCTCCCGCTCCGGCCTCGCGGGGGGCGGATAGGGAAGTGCGCAGAGATCTGGGCGCTGCAGTTTGTTCACAACGGGCGCGCCCGCCCGGTGTGTCGGGCCTCGGGGACCTCACGGGTCGATCCGATTCGAAGCAGGGCGCGGAAGGGCTTCCAGGAATCTGGCGGTGATTCTCTTCGATGCGGCGATGTTTTTTGGCAACGTCAGAACGTCGGCCCTAGGCCTCCAAAGTATTGAAACACTACAGCCAGGCCGCTGAAAGAAGGAACGCTACTTAAGGAACGAAGCCCTTTCTTCTTGGCCCTGTAAGCGCCTCCGTGCCCCAGGAGGGCAAGAGGAACAGCACTGGAGGAGCCTACGGAACATCGAGCCCCTTCCGCACCCAAACTGTTCCTTGTCTCAACGTCTTGACTGTGCCATGGGGGTCTGTTCCTGCTCCTGGCGTCTGGGGGCCCTCGCCGGGCCCCAGGAGCACCATCCAATCCAGGGCGCACGGCCGGTCCTGGACAATACGGGGCAGTTTTCAATACATAGGATTTTTTTGAATTTAGGATTTTCCATGCATGATCAATTCATGAATAAATTTATGCATGAATCCACCGTTGTTTTTTAATACTAAGTCCCTGCATGAATACATTATCCGCACGCGGAGCATGTATTGAAAACGGCACTGTACGTTGCCAAGTGCGGCAGAATCTGGATCCCGCGCGTGCACCCTGCGATCCCTCCCGACGCATCGTTTTTCGACAGGGGCGCCGGGGGGGAGCGGCGGCGCAGTGCCTGCTGCGTTCAAGCCTATCAGCCCTTGTTTGTTGTTAAACAAAAAACAAAAAAAACAAGATGAAGCGAAACGCACTCTGCGGCAACGTCATGCTCACTCGAGGGCGCCCCGCCATCGCCTGGCATCGTCATTTGACAGGGACGACCAAAGGGGGGTCCCCTATAGCACGCGCGGCGCACCTCACGGGCGTCGCGCGTCCGGCAGGCGTCCTCTCTGTCTCCACGCTGACTGCCGAGGGCGGCCCCTGCCCACGCCGAGCCTCGAGTGCTGCTCCTGTGGCGGGACGGCCGGTGGGAGTGGGCGAGACGGCCGTCCTTCGGGGGACTATAGCTCGATCGCTGCGCCTTACGAGTTGACATCCCCTCCCCCCACCCGACTGGCGACAAACCCTGGGCCATGCCCCCTCCCACCATCCCTCGTAGAGACTTGTGACATAGTTCAGTCCGCAAAAGAATCTGGATCATGCGCGGACGCACAGCGATCCTCCTGCATGGTTTTTACCAAGGCCGGCGTGGGCGCTGGCGTATTGCCTGCTGTGTTCAATGCCGGCATCCCCCACCATCCCCTGCAACATAAACAAACGAAGTGCACTTTTGACCAACGTCTGGATCACGCGTGGGCGCCCCGCGAGCACTTTGCATGGCTTCGGACAGGGAGCGCGGGAGGGCCGGCAGACTGCCTGCCTGTGCGCCGTGCCGAAGGCCACCCGCCATCCTTTACGAACAAGAGCATACAAAGCGCACTTTGCACTAGAGTCTGCATCATGCGCGGACGCCCCGCGATCACTCTGCACGGGGTCTTTGGCAGGGACGGCGGGGTGCCGTCATGCTGCGTGCTGTGTGCAGTACGAACCCACCCGTTCCTGGCACAAGAGCAGTGCAACATCCGCGTTGCACCCTCCTCCTCCTCCTCCTCCTCCTCCTCCTCCTCCTCCTCCTGCCTCCCTCCTCCCTCCTCCCTCCTCCCTCCTCCCTCCTCCCTCCTCCCTCCTCCCTCCCTCCTCCCTCCTCCCTCCCCTCCTCCCTCCTCCTCCTCCTCCTCCTCCTCCTCCTCCTCCTCCTCCTCCTCCTCCTCCTGGATCGTGCGCGGGCGTCCAGCGATCACTTTGCATTCGCTGGCTTTTGACAAGGACGACGGGGGAGCCAGCATACCGCCTGCTGCGTGCAAGCCCACCCTCCCTTTGCAGCAGCGAGCAACCAATACACTTCGCCAGGGATGGCGGGAGGGGGACGGCTTGCTGCCTGCGAAACGCAGGCCTGCCATGCCAGCAACGAAAATCCAAATCCCACCAGCCCTTTAGGGCGTGAGTGGTTTAGATCGTCCTCTCTGTTCTCAACCCCCTTTTTTCCCCTTCGGGGAGGGGCTTACCCCTCGCCCGCACACCCCAGGGTCCCCATCCCGGCTCGTGCGGCCGCGTCCGCGGACGACCTCGGTCCGACCTGGGGAAACCAAAGGGTGCGGATACCGCTCCTCCCCGGACCTCTCCCGGGGTGCGTCCTGGCCAGGATCTCGAGGCGCATCCGGCGGTGGCGACGAGGGCCTCCGAGGAGGCCCCACACAAAGGGGGAAGCGGGGCGAGGGTAGCGGCACGGGCGGGTACCTGTTCCTGCTCTGACCGCCTGTCTGTGCTCCTCATCCGACCGCGCGGCATCCTCTGGCGAGGCGACCCAACCCAGCCGCGGGGCCGCCCCTGCACCCCCTCGGGCGCCTGCACGGCCCCGCCCGTGGCTCGCCGTCGCTGTCGCCGCCGCCGAGCTCCGCGGCGGTCATCTCCTGCCCGGGCGGGGCGGAGGACGATGAGCAACGTTTGACCGATCCCTATCCCCACTGGCGTGATCTGGGCGCAACTGTGAAGGGGCCCTGGGACACACAAATACATACACACACACATAAATATATTTTCCCATATTTTCTGGGCTTTTGTCTTCCCCCCCACTTCCCATATTTTCCCATATCTTCTGGGGAATCGCCGGTTCATTGTGTCTGTGTGCTTCTTTCCCTCTTGAAACTGGCCGACGTATCCCCCTAGATGGGGATACAGGCTGCTCCCTGCGGGCTGCGAGGGGGCCATCATCCCCAACTGGGGCGGTACGCTGGCGGGGCTGCGATCCTGGGGCGGCACGCTGGCGGGGCTGCGATACCCTGGCCCGCTGGGGATTGAGATCGGACAAGCGATACTGAGACGAGGAGGAGGAGGAGGAGGAGGAGGAGGAGGAGGAGGAGGAGGAGGAGGGGAGGGGGAGGGGGAGGGGGACAAGCTAGGTGCGCTCGCGTCATATCTGACGTCCTACCCCTCCCTCCCATCCCTTACCATGGCGCTGATTTTCTCTATCCGCGGACGCGTGTCGTAGCGGACCTGTGGCTCCGCGCGCGCGTGCGTAGTGGGTGGTGGTGCGCGTGCGTG